TTACACTCCTCCTTTCTCTATCACTCGCTCGCTCTCGCTCTTTCTCTCTCGTTCCTCACATCCCGCCGTCAAACACCACACACACACACACACACACACACAACACACGAGTGCACAGAGTGAACATTCATGAACTTCAGTTTATCGCGAAACGTTTCTTTAGTAGCCTTGGGACACTCCACATATGAATTAATGAGTAAATGGCGCATCATTCTTTATAAAACCTTTTCCCCCGAAAATGGCGAGTATTCGGTACAAAACGTACGAATGCTTAGACGCAACGTCATGAACGTTTCCCGATGCTTCCCGAAAAAGAGAACGTTTTCTGCCTAAACCGGAAAACCGTATCCGCTTGCCTGCCTGCCTGTCGTCGTCATTACCTTTAACTTCTAACTGACATGCATATCTGACGGGCGGAGTTGCCGGGAGTTTCGTCGGACGGCTGATTAATGCATCGACGTGTGATTACATTTAGCGGAAAGCATCGTAGTGGCGTGCGTTGTAAATGCGAGGGAAGTTAATAGGGCAGACCCCTTTCCTCGCGAGATTTTCCTCCGCGTGAATGTTTCACTGCGTGAGTCTGCGAGGAAAGCCGATTAATATTCACAACCGATCTCGGGACGCTAAGCCTTCATACGATGAAATTCTGCGCGTATGATTTCCTTGCGAAATTTAATTCCACCGATTTATCAGGGCAGAACTCGGTTTCCGAAATATTCCCATTCGTTTTGAAAATATTAAAAGTCCTCAAAGTGAAATAAAAGTTGAAGCAATGTATGCGTGGGAAATGGTATGAAATGATAACTTGATATCCTTTTGTATCTCTCTCTCTCTCGCTCGTTTTTTCTCCCCTCTCTGTATGTAGATTTTTTATAAATTATATTTTGGAAAATACGTAAAACGGAACGCAGTAAAATGTTTTTCGTATGAAAAAGAGAAAAATAGAAATGTCACGTATATGTTTATATTTATTGACGAATCACGAAGATCCTGGATTTTCAAGAGAAGTTCGGACCATGATATAAGAATACAATAAAGAATATGAAGTATTACATATATAAATATATATATATATATATACAGGGTATATGAAAAGTACTGGGACGGCGAAATGTCTTGAAACTCAGCATTTTAGAAAAAAATGTTTTAGACAAAAGTTCTATGATTTCAAGGGGAACATGAAACGACCATATCATTTTGTTTATCGAGGGTGCCAGTTTCGAGATATTCACTCATCATTCCTTTTTTTAAATGGAAATCCTAATTTTTTATTATATCATTTTTTCCTACCAATTTTAACAATTTTAATTTTAACAATTTTTGTCTGAAACATTTTTTATCTAAAATGGTTAATTTTCGAGATATATCGCCGCCCTAGTGTTTTTCTTATATACTTTATATATATATATATATTCCTAAGAATATGCAATCGTTCAATTTTGTTTAACAAATTACAGATTTGTCGCAAATTATACAATGTAACACAGCTGCTAACATCTTAATATTCTTAATCGACACAATAATTTAATTAACGACATATCTATAAATTTCCAAATCACGTTTTATTTTAGCGTAAAAGTATCTTTTAAATTCTTGTCACATTAAAATTTCACCTTTTCTTAGAAATACAAATAATGATATATACATGTTAAATATATGACCGTATAATGTATGAATGTGTTACAAGTATGTTATATTACCATTTTTATAAAATAGCTACAAACAAATAATTTATCCTGTTGATATCCAAGCAACAAAATAACGTTGAAAGGGATATTAATAATGCATTAATATTAAAAATGCAGCATTTTTGAATGTGTCGATTGGGACAATTACTCTTATAACATAAAGAAAGGTTGTATGAACCGTTATGTTCAACCTAAGATGATTTTAAATCTTAAAGTCTCTTGAAAAATTATGTTCAAAATATCGAACTTATAATTTTTAATAACAGTAATAATTAAATATTTTTTTCCAATAATGTATAATATTTTATTTTTAATTTGTCAATACTTAATATTCTTTCGTTACTTAATAATCAACATAGAGATATTTGTTTATCATTATCACTTTACTTTGTATTACATATTTTTGTTATTTCATGAATTGAATTATACTTTTGCAAACTCTAATTTTGTTTTAATTTCCGTCATAAATGTTTACCAATACTGTATTTAAATTGTGCATAAATTCTAAAGTAAAACATATGATTTTTCTATTATTTTACCGTCGTTATATGTAATATTGCACATAATGACGGTAAAATTGTCTTCTTATATGGTGACTTGAATAATAGCTTTCTGAGCTTGATATTGGTTTTACATTAATTCTATAAATTGCATTGAATTTAAGAGAGAGATATTTAAGGGAGAGAGTATTTGCCCTATTCTCTGACACTACTTACTGCATATTTTCTACATATTAAAAACAAATTTATTTATAAAATATTGAATATTGGATTTATTCCGATATTTATTGGTATTTAATTTTTATACGTGTTTTCAATAAACAATGCATTACAATTATGTGACTAATTCAATTACAAAAAGAATATGTGCAATAAGCAAATATCAAATAATTTAATGTGTGTGTGTGGGTATGTGAAACTTTGAATGAATAAATATGATTAATATCTAAATAAAATAAATTTTGTTTTTTACAACCTCTTTTTTTATTGGCATTGCATTCTGTTAGAAAGTAAAAATAAAAAATAAAGAAGGAAAAATAAGAGTTATAGAGATAAAAATAGCACTAATAGATATTTATATTTGTATTCGATATAATGATAAACAAGAAAATGATAAACAAAAAAGATAAATAAAAATGGAAAGAAGGTATTAGCAAATGTCAACAAACTAAGATGCTTTTTTGTACTTTTATTTAGCTTCGTTATTATACCAAATCTAAATTTACGTTTCTTTTGGTTCTTTGAAACATACCTATTTTCTCTATCCTCGCTACTCTTTCCTTCTCACTTCTTCTAAATTTCTAAATTCTATTAAAATTAACATAACATGTGAGTACGCGCGTTTGTCAATAAAAACTAATGACAAAAAGTTATAAAAAGAAAATATTATTTTATTATTAATCGTATCACTTTTATCATTTTATTAATTTTATTATTTATATTTACCAATTATTTAATCTTTATTTTTCATACATTCGCTGCTTGCACTTGAATAAGCTACATGATTAATACATTTGTTAATTTTAAATTAAAAAATTATAATAATTTAGTTTAATTAATATATTATTTAATTTAATGCATTATTTAATTTAACCTCCCTGTGTAAGAGTTTTCCTTAACTTGAACGTTATCAAAATACATGAGTTTTTTTAGAAAGGGTTGCAAAGTAAACGCTGTTCTAAGATTTTTGGGATCATAGATTACGAATCTGAAGTCAGAATTTCAAAACTCAAAATGGCGAATTCAATATGGCGGTCATATATCCGACATTTAATAAATTTAGAATTTTCTTGCTACGATTGGCCTGAAAGTTATTATTCGGGAGTTTTTAAAATCACTGAGGACGGATCTAAAGTCAGATTTTAAGATGACGGATCCAATATGATGGCCATATATACGTTTTCCCGTGAAAATTAAGAGATTCTCGTCTAATAAATTTGAAAACTATTACTCGAGAGTTTGAGAAATTACTACGAATTTGATTACAAATTTGAACTCATCAATTGGAAATAAAAATAACAAAAGGGATGTAAAATCGGACTTGGAGCTTCCACGTGGCACAGCCTGGGTATACTTTATCAAGCGGAAAGTATAGCAAATCCTAGTCTTAGTATGAGTGTTGAACGCAATTGAATCCGCCATTTTGAATTTCGAAATACTGACCTTAGATTTGTAATCAGCAACCTGTGAAACTCCCCAGTAACAGTTTCCAGGCAAATCAGAATGAAATAGTCGAAATCGGACTGGAAAATCATGTACTTGACCGCCATACTGGATCCGCCATTTTGAATGTTGAAATTCTAACTTCAGATTTGTAATCAGCGACCTCAAAAACCTTTAAGTAAGAGTTTCCAGACCGATTTGAGTACTTTTAGAGCACTTTTGTAAGGACGAAAAATTGAAAAATTATTACATGAATTTTCTCTTTTTTTTCAATTTTCAATCCAACTTTTTATAATAATATGTGCAAAATTCGATACTGCAATTCGATCTATCTTAAAATACTAGTCTCAAGATTTAATTTGCGAGGTCGCAAACCTCTCTAAGTAATTTCGTTCAGGAGTTTCAACAGAAAATGTTTGGACGAGTATATTCGTCATCGCGCACATGGGAACAACACGGGAACTCCATTTAGATGAGTATATTCGGGATAATGCGCAGGGGGATTAATTAATAATAATTTAATTTAATTTGGTTTAATTTTAAATGAATATTAAACGCAAGTAGAATATCAAGTATAATTGAATATTAAATAATTTCAAATATACATTTTTAATAGAACCTAGAGCTATCCTAGAAACTCTTAGAAAGCCTGTTATTAAGCTTTAATATGGGGAATATGGAGTAAACGGTAATAAATAAATAATCTCAATAAATGCAAAGAATAATAGTTTTTATGTAAAGTTTTTATGTAAAGTATTTACCTTGAAATATTCATTGATTTAAAGTTCAACAAAGTTTGTAGCTTTAATGTAGAATCAGAATTTTAACTTTTGAATTCTCAATTTGGTAAAAATAAATATGGAAGAAAGAGAGCGACAGATTGACGATAAATTTTTATCTATGAAGGGGCTAAATGCATTTCGTAAAAAAAACGGAGTTTTTGGAAAAAATGGAAAAAAACAAGTTATATTTTTTCGCGAGAAAGAATAAGGGAGAGAAGGATGGGTAGAACAGGAGAGAGAGAGAGAGAGAGAGAGAGAGAGAGAGAGAGAGAGAGAGAGAGAGAGAGAGAGAGAGAGAGAGAGAGAGACAGAGAGAAATTTTGTTTTGATCATGTTGAATTTTTATTTTTCTTCCGTCAGATTTTAATCAGATGTGAATAAATCAGTCAGATGTGAATAAATATGCATGAAGAAATTAGAGAGGTTTATGAAATTCTCTTTTATAGTGCGACCTCGAAAAAATTAATCTTCCTCAGCATACCTCGATGCATGAAATCGTTCGTTTCTAATTTCTCTGAGGTATTAAATAATTATCTTTAAAAAGCTCTCCTCAAGGAAAATGCATTAAATTTTGCTGCGGAATTGAACTCAATTTAACGATGTTATTTATTCAAACCATAGGCGGGGTCCTTTAAGGAAGCTCTTTAGGAAGAGGATTCTTTAAGGAAATGGCGATTTAATGGTGCGCGTTCTCTAATTAGTTAATTTCCGAAACGTTTCGCGACGCTTGAAATGACATGCTTAAATGCCTGGCTGATATTTAATATCTTTCCTTGCTTTTCCGAGTTGCAGATAAGCGCGGAGAAAGTTAGAAAATAGATAATGTGATATAACACAGTTCCTTTTTTTCTCAAAACGCGCAACTTCGAGGAGAGCTCCAACAATTTTTACCGAACTCGAATTCGATTAAACGTTCACAATGATCTAATGCGGTCGCCGCATTTTCGCCAGATTTTTGTCAAAAATACGAGCCTAATGGCCTGCGCATTCACGGCAGATTAATTGAAATTCACGAAATTAACTACGCGCGCGTCGAAGTTATCCTCGTTAGCAAGCTCGTTTAAAAAGTTCTAATTAAATGAAACGGCGAGCGCGGAACTGTTCTCTTTGCAGAATTTTGTCACTGCGCGAAATCGCGTTCGTTCCTAAAATTCGATATATAGAATTTCGAAAATTAGCAAATGAAGATATCTCGTACGTGATAAATTAAAATTTAAGTGAATCTCTGTTATTATAGATGCGCGCTTCCAATAAAATAACCTGGCTCTTCACTCTCAACAAAAAAAAAGATAAACGCTTTTGCACTCGCTTATTTAAAAATAACGATTTTAATTTCGACATGTTATTCGACTCCTCCTCTCTGTCTTTTTCTCTTAAATTTCATTTTATTAATTTGCTAGAAAATTGTCCGAATTCAATTTAACAATGACCGATTTTTTCATTGACCGACAGTACGGACAGTTTTCTCCCATCTTTTCTCTTCCGTCCGGCGAAGCATTCTAGTTTCACTTGAGATTTCTCGAAATGTAAGTAAATTAGTTGTCCTGGAGCAAGATGAAATATTGTTATATGCGAAATTCAAGGATATATTTCGAGTTATCTCGACGGTAAAGCTTAAAGGACACGGCGGGGCTCTATATCCTCTCGCGAGTCGCCAGACTGGAAGGCAAACACTGTTCATCCGTGAATCGCGTCGTGATTACGGCGACGGAAAGGAAACCAGTTTCCTCGTTGCCGAGTACTTCTGACGATGAAAAGGTCTTCCAGGACGGCTTCGGGGCGGGGCGCATTCTTTCGTCACGTCCGGCGCCGCACCTCGCACTTTTATGATAAATTATCATCAACCCATCAGCTCGTTTTTCGCGAATTTGCACGATTCTCGACTTCCAATTATAGAGGATGACCATTAAGAAGTGTTGAGAGTAAATGGCTGTTACTTTGCAGCAAATGGACAGAACATAATGCCATTATTAAATGCCATTTGTAGGAAAAACCTGCAAATTTTATTGCAACGTATAATAGCATGAAATAAGTATACAGTAGTTAAGTATTTAAAGTAAAGATTACGGGAAAGTGCTACAAATTTGGCGAGACAGATAACTCAATAATAAATGTTTTTAAAGCGTTGTCCTATATCGTACCTATACGGTCAATTAACATACCGTACATAATAAAGTTACCGATAATTGTGCAAAATCATATCAGAATATTGAACGAATCTTAAATAATATCAGCTAAACGTAGCATAATTGCAGCGCGATTTTAATAGGGGAACGTAGAAAAGTTTTAAAAATGAACTTTCTGAGTGTAGTTTTGCTTGAGACCCTTAGATTCATATTTACTTCAGAACTCACGATATATTCATCTATATAACTTTTCTCTGTTATAGAAGCGTTGATAATGGTCCTCTCTCTTTCATCGACGGAGCGCTGGCTTCTACTACGGCTAAGATAAAATTGACGGATTTTAGGTATACAATCTTAGTCAGTTGAATTTCTACTAAAATAACACGGGAGAAACTTAACGGTTTAATTTTAACATCTTCCTAATGGTCACTCAGTATATGTACGCACGCGTGAGGTATTATCGAAACGAACGATGACCGGTATTTTCTCACCGCGAAAGCAACATTCAACTGATCAATCTATTCCTGATGTTTGTCAGCTTACTCGATCAGCCAGTCGTTCAAGAGGGCGAAGCCATCTCGAATCGCGAAGACACCTTCAAAAAATAACTACTTTCACAAATTTTCGTCTCGTAGTGTTTTCGTCGCACCATATGTAATATTATATATCTATCTGTGTTATGTCTGTACGTGTTGTGTGTGTATATATATATTTATTTATATATTTATATATACGCGCATATGTATACAACTATACGAGGTATTCCGGAAATAACGTACACTGTTCTCAAGAACTGAATCCCCAAGAGATGGATCAACCTGCGAAATATTCTCCAGCGAAAATGGAACTGAAGTATCGATTACAGCGAAACGATAAAACGAGCCAATTTGAGAGCAGAGCCGCGATTCTCTCTTAAAATCCCCGCGGATGTTCGAGAAAACACGTAGGATCGGTTAATTTCAAGTTTCATAAAATTTTAATCTCTCTAACGTGTTCCAAAATGATTTCCCCGAGGCTAATTAACGTTTCCCCGAGGTAAGTTTGCGCATCTCCGTAATATCCTTCGCGGACTCGACTTCTCCTCGCTATATACGCTGTTTTCAGAACACCCTGTACACGTCTTCAACGGTCTCTGTACATCAGGTCGAGCGCCACTGCGGGCCTCCTAATCTCGCACAGTTCGCCAGTCTTAAACACCGAGTTAACATTATTATCACTACAGCAGAATCGCCTACCAGACCGCGTCTTCGCCAGAAACGGCCAAGATCGAGGAGCCCTCGATCGAGAAATCAACGATATTCCGTGTGTTTGACGAGTCTAAAGTAAAATAATATGCAGTCGGTGGATGAGCGCGCAAATGGCTTGAGCAGATTTCCGGGTCACAAGAGCGGCCCGTGACGCATACGGTGCCGAGAGATCTAACATTTTCAACGCCGTCGTCGTTCCTAAACAGCACCGAGGTGATCCGACGAAAGTGACTCGAGTGTCGTTTCAATTACACGTTACACATTGAAAAAATAATAGAATCAATTTTACCACCTTCACGACACGATAATTCTCGTTGGAAATTATACCTGAAGTTAAACACGCGAAAATCGTGCTTACACGAGAAAGACAGTCGAAATCATGATGCAAACGTTCTCTCTTAGAATCTTCGTCACACTTAGCATCTCAAAGAACAGCCTCCTCTAATTATACCTTTCTGCTCGATTACTTCGTCCTGCAATTATCGACTCGTCGCAGCCATATTAAAACTCTCCAAGAGGAGGGGGAGTCAACATGAACAATTAAATTTAATGAATTTCACATTTTCTCGACGGATCCTGCCGGGAGAGCCGTTTTGAGTACCAGTCACGTCTTTATTCGCTACGCCTGAAAGCGTACCTTCTCGGAGTCCCTGAGACGCGTTTCACTCGATCGAGTCCGCCAAACATTTATCTATCACTTTAAGGATCAGTCACGCCATCTTGGTTCCTTTTCAGCACGGCTGAACGTTTCTCCTTGGAGCGAGTCCAAAAGACGTCGTCGTATTTCACGGGCGCGACATGTCGTTTAAATAAATCCGGTCACCATTTTTATGTCCAAAAAAGCACTCGGCACATTTAAACGCGATCCGCGTAAAAATTTTTCCTAGTCAATTTTCCACGAATGCGCGGGACCGCGGAACACGCCCCTCCCCTCCCCTCCCCGCGCCCTCCTTAGCGAGAGAACATACACCTGCGTCGTCCATCCGTCCGTCCATTCTCAGTGACTCCGACTCCGATTCCGTGGGCTGTACACCGCAGCGAGAGAGACATGCCTTCTGATTAATCTATTACGTCTCCACCGCCAGAACGAGCGCCTTTGTTCGCGCCGTCTCGGGTGGCTCTGTTCCGCCAATCACATCCTGGACCCTGTTATCCTCCGCGAATTAATCTGGCAGCGTGACGGGGACAGATTCCCTCCTCGGTGATAATTCGGGTCGTTTGCAGCTTCGTTAAGGTCGTCGCACTTGACGTCTGACACGTAGGAAGGAGATCGTAAAAATCATCTCGACGTTTCTACGTAAATGCGTGGATACCGTTACCCTTATCGCGACGGCATGTCGAGCAGAAGAAGAAATGGCTTTTCTCTTCGCGAAAGAGTCATGGCGTTTCGTTTCGTCGAAGGAATGCGCATTGAAGTTTGCACACTAGGACGTTGAGTGTTTCGTTCGAGAAGAGAATTTTCTCTCCTCCTTTTGTTCGTGTTTGAAACGAGATTGTAATAATTCGAGGATATTTGTGCGACACGCAAATATGGTTCATGTTTCCTTCTCTCTAAGATGGAAACATTTTCGGCTAGGTCGAAGCAGTAAATGATGGTGAGCTCTTCGAGGAAGATCAGCGGTGCTCGGTTGTCAAGAGACCACTAACTTCCCCACTTTTGGAAAACTTAAATTATGGCAGTATACTTTTCAGGGGGTTTTATCGGTCCGACAAATTCCTCTTTCTCTCTTCGAGGTAGAGCTGTGGAGAAGTCGAAAGCCCTGGCTAGGCTCGCGAAACTTGAACGATGTGTCAAAATGTCCGGTCCCATGCACCACGTAGAACGTCTCCCACGTACGCCCTTCAGACTCAGTTACTCCCCGCGTCGTCACAAATCTTTCAAACGTCCATAGCGTCTCCCACGTAGCCTTCATCAGGACTTTCCGGGTGATTCGGCGGTTGTAGCTCCTCGGCGCGCGCGGCGGCCGCAGCTGCAGCCTCGCGCGCGGTTTTGCCAAGCAGGGATCTCGGGGATAGCGGGGTTGTTTCGCCTCTGTAAGCTGCCGGTGGTGACGGAATGAAGGGTACTTCCGGAAAGACGGCGACCGGCGAGACCGGCGACACCGGTAATTGCTGCTGGATGGGTTGTTCCACTGGCTGAATCGTCTGCTGCTGCTGCTGCTGTTGTTGCGGCTGCTGCTGCTGTTGTTGTTGTGAATGTTGCTGTTGATGCTGCTGCTGAAGTTGATGCTGATGTTGATGCTGATGCGGATGCATCGGATACGGGTAGCCCTCAACGGTGTACCTAGCGTCGGTCCTTGGCAAGACAGGGTCGTATCCTGGTGATCTCGCCAGGAACTCCGCTTCCCGGGAATATCTGGCTGGAGGCGCAGCAGCCGAACCCTCTGTCATTCTTTGCCGGAGCCTCGGCAGGGTACTAGCGGTGAAGGAAATTTTGGGCAGACCGAAATTTAAAGGGTAGCCGTCTTGATCCAGGTAGCTCACTTGCGGCAGGACCGGCGGCGGTCTCAGGTCAGGCTGCAGCGGGTAGCCCGAGTCGTACTCCAGAATTTGCCGATCGCCGGTGCCAGCACGCTGATGATGTCGTCCGTAGAGCTGGCCGTAGCCCACCTCAGTACTCTCGGGCACCTCGTTGATTAGATCCGGCTCGGTCAAGTATTTAGCGACCGGGCTAGCTACATAGGCATCTCTGTCCAAGTTGTTTCTAGAAAGTTCGCGACGCTCGAGAGTAGCTGCTCGGTTCATCTCGCGTTCGGTATAGGAGACTACCTGCTGATGTTCCAAACCGATCAGGCTGCCGTTACCCTTACGGCAGGACACCCCACTGGTGGTGTCCTTGGTGATCGGTAATACTGACTTGCTCTGCGTCACCAACGCCTTGGAGTTCCTTTTGCGATCGCGACGGCGTTTCCTCGCACAGTATATCACGCTGCCTACCAGACAGCTCAGGGCAAAGATAGTACCCACCAGCGCGCCGGCCGCTATTGCCGCGACGTAGCCGGACCCAGGATTATCGAAAGGCGGCTCTACAGTGGGTTTTTCGCGAAAGAGCACCCGCAGCGAAAGATTCGCCTCCGCGGAGCCCGCGCTATTCTCCGCGATGCAGCTGTAAGTTCCCTCATTAAAGGACTCCACTGTATAGAGAAACAGTGTGCTGCTTATATTGGTCCTGCCTCGCTCCCGATAGATGCATCTGCATCAGATTAAAAGAAATACAAGGATTAGACGGGAACGTACGCATAGGGTGCTCAACATATAGGTTCGTACGACGGGTTGCCTAACCGTTTCGTTGACAGGTGCGCGTGGTCTCAGCGCGCACTCACATAGGTGTAGCTGGCGATGCGCAATAAGTTTCAAGAAAGTTTGAATACTTTCTTCATAGATTAAAAACAATTAAGAACACGCCTGATAATTCTTGTTTATAAAAAAATCAGAATAGGGAATTTAGCTCCAATAACCTGCACCTTGATATATATATTATAAGGAATATGCTGCTTAGTAATTTTTTAAATATTTTAGTCATCGCTCATTATTTGTTAAAAAATCATTAACAAAACAGTTTTATAAATATTTTTTCGACATAGTATACATTAAAAAAATGTTAAACATATGAGTGAGAAAGGGATGAAGCCCTCTCTCAAAACTCTCACCACTACCCGAAAGAAACCTAACCATAACCCCAATTCTAACCCAACTTATACTTTGCATATGGTTAAGCGTTAAGCATATGGTGGGTTTTAAAAGAATCTTTTCAACAATGTTCAACCGTATACAACAATGTACGAGTTGAATTAGATAAAGTTTTTTCGGAGAGGGAGAGGGGCTTTGCCCCTTTTTAACATCTTTTAATGTACACTATGTACATTTTTAATGTACATTATGTGAGAAAAATAAGCTTTATTTAAGAAAAATGAAACTTTATGAAACTTCTTTTGTTAATAACTTTTTAATAAACAATGAAAGAATAATAAAATCTTTTAAAAAGTTTCTCAGGAAAATGACCTTAAAAATATGTATAAAGGTCAAGGTCATTGGAAGTGAATCTTCTGCTCCATATATTTACCAAAAATTTTTCGAAATAATAAGTTTTTCCGTCGTGTTCCGAATTGTATTTAGAAAAGGACTCAAGTCATTTTAAAACTTCTAGTATGCTCATTTGAAGTGTGCACAAGTGATTACTGAATCTGCGTTCAGATCACGTACGCCTGCCAACGAAACAAATAGACAGTCATATTGATCTATATGTTAATGCAACGCCCATACATACGTACGTGCATAGCTTTTTCTCCAAAAGACAAATCGATAGCGACGCCGGCAATCGGCTAACCGCGCTTGCTCACCTCGGAAACGTGGAGACGCCGTTCGCCATGGAGTCGTTTTCGTGCTGCAGCTCGCACGGTTCGCCGTTGAACCACCAGGTGACTTTGGCGGTAGGTATCGCGTGTATGTCGCAGCGTAGAGTGACGTTCCCGCCCTCGTAGACCTCTAAGTGATCCGGAAAGTCGATATGTGGCAGGCAGGCCAGTTCGTTGATCTTGAGTGTCTTGATTTGTCGTTCGCGTAACCTCGCCGGCGATTCGCAGACAGGCTCGGACTCCTGTGGAGCAGCCGGTGCCGATTCCTTCAGCCAGTCCTGCATGATTCTTAGCCGACAGTCGCATTGCCACGGATTATTGTGCAAGGTCAGTCCTCGGAGACTACCGCCCAACGGTAAAGTATGATCAGGCACGTGTACGAGTTTATTGCCATCCAGCCGGAGCCATTCGAGCGAATGTAGGCCTTCAAAGGCGTCTTGCTCGACAACCTTCACCATGCAATTACTGATCTCCAGATTGGTCAGCTGCATCAGCCGACGAAATGCTCCCTGACGAATCTCCCTGATCGGATTACCGTTCAGTATGAGTCTCATCAGGCTCGGATAAGACGCGAACGTGTCCGTGGGCACCTCCTCGATCAGATTCTCGGACAGGTCGAGCTCTACCAGGCCGACCAGTCCGACGAACGCCTCTGCAGCGATCCGACTGATGTGAGACCTGCTAAGATAGAGCCGCTGGAGATTGATCAGACCAAGGGAGTGGAAACACTCCGGCAGCAGGCTGACCAGATGATTGTCCGACAGGTCGAACACCTGCGTTTCCTCTCGGGCACCCTGCGGTAGCCCCTTGAGACCGCGGTTTGCACACTCCACCCATTCTTTCCCACCCTTCCATTTACACGCGCACATGCTCGGACAGCTTCCCACCGTGCCCGCCGCCCACGACAGCAGTAGCATTGTGCCGAGGACGGCGGCCGTCCGTCGCCAGGCCGGCACGATCGAGCACATGGTGCTCTCTCATCGGCCGATAAAGCTCCGTTTCTTCTTCGTCCTCGTCGTCCGCTTCCAAAAGAGAAAGGGGGTAAAACAGGAGAATGAGGGCACGCGGTCGTATTCCCACCGTTCCTATCGCATTTTTCGCTGACCCACCACCCCGGCAGCGCTGACCGGTCGAGGTTCCTGAAGGGAGACGGCGGCGGCACTTCGATCGAGTCGACGCGTCGGAGGCGAGGAGTTCATCAGCTTGTGAGAGTCGGATCTCTGCAACAACAAAGTAAATAATTGATGAGCTCCCTAATGCGCTGCGAATTAGAATGTGCTGAACAATTAATACCGAGCGAACACGAATTCGGCGTAATTTGCGAGCTAACCGACACTGTTGGCTTCAATAATTCGGCTCGAACTTAGGAATTAACGCACGACTAACCAGCGGCCACAAATCTAAGCCGACGGTCTTAAGTACACACTCACACACATACGCATGCGCATACACACGTTGTCTACATAGCTGCGACGCGTCTCGCATATTATTTTTAAAAGAGGGGAAGAGGGCCATTTCGCAGGCTTACATTTTTTATCGGCTCCGCTACACCCTCTTGGTGACGACAATCGATTATGGGATTTCGCTTTCGGGGGTTCCCCCCGCGACGAACAAAAGGGCTATTAGGGTCCCCAACTGGATCAGTACTTGCCTCGTCTAGATTCCCATAGAAAAACAGCCAGCTTCTTCGCGGAGAAACTGCCGAAACCAAGGCGAGGTGGCCTCTAAGGATTTCCATCCCCGTGTAGCCCAGGGGGTGGCTGGCGCACGTTGAAAGCAGATAATAAATTCCATGAAGAGGGTGTGTATCTCGAAAGGAGACGAGGATGTCGTGAGAGGAGAAACACTCCCGATATCAGGATATCGGAATATCGAGCACGCGCATGCACACTTCAGATGCAAACCTTCCGCTCCTTCTCTTCGTAGCTTTATTCCGAGACGCCCCCGTTGAACGAGACTTTTTCCTCCGCTCCGCTCCGCGCGGAATGCAGGGGTGAAGGCGACCTCTGAAGGATATTGCCGACCCCGGGCATTTCGAATCCAATATCAACTGGCCCGCCCGCAACTGCGTGAGTTGCAGTTTTTTTCTTTCTTCCTTTCGCGCTCTTTAAAGTTGCGCTCTTCGCTGAGGGCAACGACGTTCCGTTCCGTGGAAAACGCAAACGACGCAAGATACAATCTTGACGCACCGTTTTCCTACTCCTCGCCGAACGACGCGCGGTTCACGTAATATCACGTGTTACGTCTAACATGTGTTACTGTCATAGCGCATGTATTTCTAAACTTGCCTGCAGTTAATTTTATCGCGAGTTCAGTCTTAATTGGATTACTTGTAATCGGATGGGAAATTTCGCAAGAAGAGGAACGTACGCCGCTGTAATCGCGGATGTTGCCGCACCAAGTTCTGGAAACGCTCCGCGAATCTGGCCATAAAGTGCTCGACTTATTTATACATCGTAATTACGATCGTTTCAACGGGTCACGTTCTTTTCCATTTGCGCGCACGCAAATCATCGTTGAGTCAACTTTTTCCCCTTCTCTCTCTCTCTCTCTCTCTCTCTCTCTCTCTCGCTCGCTCGCTGTACTCGCGCTCCGATGCACCATGTAAACGTGAATTCGCGCAAATGAGAAGCTGGTAAAGCAAGAATCGCGAGCGCATAGAGAAACGCGAGAAGACGCGAAAATAAAAGCAAGAGAAAAAGGAAACACGGTGACGTGGAATCTCCGTTCGTTCGTTGGTTCGTTCGTTCGTTCGTTCGTTCGTTCGTTCGTTCGTTCGCGAGCTCGTTTAGTCGGCAACGTTTTCATCGGAATGCGAATTGTCGAAGCCACAAGGTTGGGAATATCCGAATAGCGGCCAGTAAACCACTGGCGTTTGCTTAGCGTGCGAAGTAGTCCTTAAAGGCGCGGTTTAAAATTGCGACGGCGTCTCGCGGCCAGCAGTAAATATCGAATGCGAAATGGCGGGAAATACGCTTCTTTCTCTATCGTACAAAATGGAAATGAGGGCTGAAGATCAAAAAGCCAAAGCACGCGCGTTTTAACCTTTCAATCGATGGCATACCTTCAGATAAAAAAATTTTATATTTTATTTCGATCTATTCGCCGGCTGGTCGTGTCCCTTCTCACTTTGTGTCGTATCATATCGCAATCGACAAAAAAGAGGGGGGAGAAGGAAGAGGGATCGGACGAGATTATTTTCCAGGAACGATAACACCCGGGCTTTTGAAAGATTCTTGAGTTAAGAACGGGTTAAGTGACATCTTCGATCATATTCAAACTGTAACGGTAATGTCGCGATTAAATTTACCCGTTGTGCCAATTCGAGCGCCATTTTGTTAATTGTTCCCATCGTCCTCGTGGGAAGAAAAGAAGCTCCCAACAGCGAAATGGGAAGAAATGCTTTCCGGTGGCGAAATGGAAACGAAGCAAGAGGAAGAAAGAGAGAAGGAAGGAAAAAAGGAAGGAAGAAGAGTGAGAGAGAGAGAGGGGGGAGGGAGAGAAAAGGAGAATAAGAGTAGGAGCTAAACGGCACTGAGAGCGTTCATCCAAACGACGAATCGTCACTTTAAGTGTTATGACCGTTATCAGCGGAGGAATAATACATTTGCGACAGTCAGAACGCACGCTTCGAGTTAAAAAAAAAAGAGGTGGAAAGGCAGTAAAGAAAAAGACGGTTGGGATTCCAAGGTGATCTCTTCTCTTTCGTTAATGCACGCCATGAAATGGAGCTAACTACCGCGTGTCGCATCTCATTTCGTCGCTTTTGGCAACTTTTCTCCCAACGCGTCAGCTTAAATTTTGAACTTGAATTGGCGACGGCGAATCCAAACATTAATTTTGAAACATCATACACGTCATGGCGAGTCATAACTAATTGAAACATAAATAGTTACGCGGTATCGAATTTTGCATTAACTATCGTCGCGCGATTATGCCATGACATTTACGACTAACGAACCGGACGACGAACCGGGAACAACGACTGGGCGACTGTCGATTATGGTAGCAGCATCTCATTGTCGGGAAAATGTCACATTGCGTGTCAAACGCGGCAGGATAATTTAATTAACATTGACTCCTGTTTAATTACCGGGAAACATTGTTGATGGCGATGGGAAGGGGACGGCGCGGTGATAAAGAGACTGAAAGCGCGAAAGAGAAAGTGAGAAAGTGGAAGGGCGAGAGGGAGAGTGAGAGAGAGAGAGAGAGAGAGAGAGAGAGAGAGAGAGAAGGGAAGAGGGAGGGAGACAAAGAAAAGGAGAAACGTCGGAAATGTTCTCGAAAGTTATTCGAATTGGATACGAATGCTTCGAGTTCGATGCTCGGGTTCCTTTTCTTGCTGGGGTTAGGGAAGCTCTATCCTCCTCTCTCGTCTTCGTCTTCGAGTCACAGGACGCATGGCACAAAGCCACTGGGGACGAGAATTTCCGCCAATCTTTTCATCGATCCTCCCTATCCGACCGACCGCGAACACGGACTTCCGGTTGGATTAGTTCCACGTTCTGTATCATTTACGGCGGCAGTCGATTATTCACTTACGGGGCATGATCAAGAGATCGATCGGTGATTAAATCAACAAAATAATAATGGAAAAGGCAAGAGAAGAGAGAAAATATATATACACCAGCGCAAAAGCGTCTCAATAGTATCTTGTCTTTTCGGATTCCTCAGCGTTCTCATTTGGCGAATAAACCGCACGTGAAGCGCACGGGATAGTAGCAAAACGACGCACCACGGGAAGCACAGAATTGCAGAGCATAATTTAATACGGAAAAAGAAATTCCGTTCTGGGGTAACCGAATTTCGGTTGTGACAATCGAAATTTTCTGTTTTCCGAGGACCGGATGAGAACTCGATTGCAGTAACAGCAAAATTCTTATGGAAGATTTCCGTCGCTAAGACAATTGGTTTCAGTTATTTCAAGCGAGTTTTAATGCCGCTATTGTCAAAAGTCTCGTTCATTGCAATTACATTTCGGCTCGTGCTATCGATGTTTCGATAATAGGAAACAAACTCTTCGCCGTTCTAACTATTATTATCATTTTATTATACATGTCTTCTAAGCTTTTTTGGATTGCTGAATTATAAATTTGTACACCCTGTATTATAAATTATAAATATTTATATATCATGACTTGATTATTCAAAAAATCCGCAATTCCTAAAATAATCAGTAGTTACGATGTACGAATATTTTATATACAGGGTATCCGTTTGGAAACGAAAAATTGTGAAAATTAATCAGATCAAATTGAGAAGAAAAGTCAAATACCATTTTGCAAAAATCGCAATAGTTATTAAGTTATTAATGATTAAAAATAGACCACATCTAGAGACTCTTTTAATTAATAACTTGAAAATTTGAGCACTTATTTGCAAAATGGTTCAAGATTCAGGATTCAAAGTTCAATATTCTCATATCTATCGCTAGACACAATAGCCATCATATAATTGTAGGTTAGGTCACTCTGAACAAAAAAGTCCTTTATTTTGCAAATAAGTACTTAAATTTTCAAGTTATCAATTAAAAGAACCTCTAGATATAATTTTAGATATCATTTTCAATCATTAATAGCTTGATAACTATTGCGAGTTTTGCAAAATGATATTTGACTTTTCTTCTCACAAGTAACACTACCCAACTGTCACTCACCAATCGGAATGAAACTTTGCTCTCTTATAGAACATTAAAAAATATCGAAAATCCATTTTTTTATTCCCCTTTACTCTCTCTTTCTCTCTCTCTCTCTCTCTCTCTCTCTCTCTCTCTCTCGCTGTACTCGCGCTCCGATGCACCATGTAAACGTTTTTCCTCAAAATGCTTTTTAACTTTTTGACTGTCGGAGGCAAATTGTACCTTGTGGGACAAAATTGACTCAAAATAACTCTGAAGTAAAAATAACTCTGAAGTCATAAAACTCGGTATTCTAAGCTCTTTGGAACATTAAATTCGAATATATCAAAATTTTAAAATTCAAAATGGCGGATCCAAGGTGACGGACACCAATTTAAAAACAATCAATATATTTTCATAAAACTCGATATCCTAAGGTTTTTGAATCGTTAAATCCGAATATGATATCAAAATTCCAAAATTAGGATACTGAGTTTTATAAAAATATGTTGGTTTTTCGAAATTAATGTCAACCATGTTGGATCCGCCATTTTCAATTTTGAAATTTTGATATATTCGGATTCAACAATCCAAAAAATCTTA